GAGTAGGTATAATCTCATTTCCATGCTTTGTTTAAAAACCGTTTTTGAATCCATCCTTTCATGCTTTCTTCTCCATTTCCACTACTCTTCATGCATGCATGCTGATTCTTTCAAAATTATCATGATGTAGATAATCCAGATTATGTATTTGAAGTTTGTATGTGCAATATTGCTTTAACCAAAATCATCATGTAGATAATCCAGATTATGTATTTGAATTCCGTACTTGAATGTTTAAGTTTTACTTCCATTGTATGTTTGTGGATGGAATAAGGACTTATGACGACAGTATGTTGCATGATCAATCGATTATATACTTTGGTTTCTCATGCAGTTAGCCTTTCTTTCTTTCTTTATCAATCGATCTCATCAACCATATCCACTACATTATATACTTTGGTTTAACCACCACCGAAATCTTAAAAAAGAACACTAAAAAGCAAAGTTGATGTGGGAAAAAACAAAGGAAAAAAATACTGAAATGGAGGGTTGTGATTGATCTTATTTGTAAGCATATGTACAAATGGATTAAAAAGAGAACCAGAAAAGGAATATGTAAGATATAAAAGGGGTTCATGTATAAGGAAACAAAGAAAACATATTATTGTGTGGTTTAAAAATGTTTTTTAAAAATGTGTTGACGTCATCATGATGTGTGATGATGTCACCGGTCTAACCGATGGTCCAACCGGTTGAACCGTGACCCGGCCATCAGAGTGGGTTACCCTCCGGTCCGGTTTTTAAAACAATGACAAAAACTAGTCAAAAACAAGCATTTTTCACTCCTTACCACCTCAAATTCACCTTAGAATGTCCACAAACAAATATTTTGTATGAAATAACAGTACTACTTGCATTTAAGATAGAGGAAATTGATATACCATCAAAAGAAAAATTATGTTATCTATGTATATTGCCTATACAGCTGCAAAATCAAGAAATTCAATTGCAAACCATTATTTAAAATTTCAGCAATATCATGCAACTAGCAGTGAACAACTATTACCCAGAATTCATTCACATACATATGAAAGAATCACTACAAATTTCCCAGGCTCATAAAAGAGTTGAATATTAGCAATACAACAAAACAAGTGTAAAATGCAATCCTATAGGAAACAATGGCAGGCAATTGAACAATGGGATTGGGAGCTTAACAAAAATTCAAGAGTAATTACAAAAAAATGAATTACCTTCTCATTAATTGACTTTACTAGTTCAAAGTTTCATTGTTTAAAGAGGTTGTGACCCTATAGATTAAATGATAAAATTAAGGTTACATGTTTGGCCTAATGACTATGTAAAACTTAATATACTTGTTGCCACCTGTGTTGTGAGATTATGGAGCATTGTTTTGACTTGAAGAAGCTGCATTTTTTGATGAAGCTGCAAATATGGCTCTTGAGGCTGCTGTAGTCATTGTTACTACATATGTTCTCTACAACATCCAAAATGGGAAACAACATTAGTAAACTAATCAACAAAATTAAAATAAACAAAATGAAGAAATTACAAATACCTTCTGGCTTTTCCTTTTATCTGCAATAGCTAGATTCTCCTTGCAAGATCTTTTGTTATGGCCCATTCCATTGCAAATACTACATCTAAATGTGTTGACCATTTTATTGTTGGGTTCTTCAGTTGGATCTCTCTTTCTTTCCTTTGCTAGTCTGCCCGACTTGGTGTGCTTGTATGGTGGCCATAATTTTTCGCCACTTACATCGGGCCAAGTGGACTTGTCTTGTACAAGATGGATCATATGAGCATATGTTTGCATGTACGTTGTAATTCTTAGCTTGTCATCCACGTGTTCTTCGAAGTTATTAACATTCATGTGAAGAGACAACTAACAGCATGAACACATGGAACCCCGGAGATCTGCCATATGCCACAATCACAATATTGCTTCCCCACCACAAGTGTATGTTTTCTACCCGTTTTTTTATCACAAACCTTGAACTCATCAGATTCAAGATAATGAACCTCAACACACCTAACTAACTCAATCAACTTGTTAATTTTTTTATGCACCACTAGTGGAAGAGGAGTTATCCAGTTAGTACCAACTTGGAATCTACATTGCATCCTCTTCATTACCCTTATTTTGTACAGCTCCAGTAAACTCAAAATCAGTAGCTCTCTATCCTCACCCAACCATGCATTGAAAACCTAACTCATATTGTTTGTTAGGTGGTTTGACTTGGCAACTGGGTCAAAGGCATGCAATGACCATTTATCAGGTTCGTTCTCTAATATACACTTGTATGCGTCTTCATCAACTTCCCTCACCTTACCCATAGCCGTAATAAATTTAGGCCTATTGGAAGCTCTACTCACTCCCCAAAATAAATTTCTTAAGTGGACCCCTGGAAATTTTTTTCTATAATTGGCATACACATGCCTAGCAAAGTACCTAGTCTTTGCTTGTGGCCAATGAACTTTTAAGGCATTTAGTATACCTTTCTGTCTGTCACTCATGAATGTGACATCATCAACATCTCCAAGAAAAGCATGCAATACACTCAAGAAAAATCCCGAAGAATCATTATTCTCTACCTCACAAATGCAGATGGCCAAAGGGAACATCCCACAATTAGCATCCATTGAGACGATCGATAGAAGAACCCCACCGTAGTGCCCTTTGAGATGACACCCATCAATCCCAATGAAATGTCAACATCCATCCAAAATCCCTTCTTTTGTGCCGCAAAACTAAGAAAAAACCTTTTGAACTTAGGAGTAGGCGACACAATCTCTCTAATCACCCTAAGCTCCGTCATTGACCCAGGATTGGTGACCTATAAAATGTGGCAATACTTGAACAACCATGCAAATGACTTGGCATGTACTTTTACGGTCATACCGGTTACAATTTTCCTGGCCCTATACAACTTATGTGTAGATGCCTCCAAATGATGAGCCATTCCAAGTTCATCACGTAAAGGCCACACAGGACTCCCTTGCTGAGACCTTATAAAGTCACCCATCTTTTCGACAATCCATGAAGCACTAGCATCAGGATTCTTGTACACTCTAAGGCAAGTGTGTATGTGTTTGTATTTACTAATCTGATACGATTGCTTATCGACCATTAACGCTACGTAAATGCGGAATGGACATCCTTCTTGTTTATAAATTGCTTTTATCCTCCTCTTCTCATCGTGGATCTTCTCCATAGCGAAGCCTTTTTTAATATAATCCTTCAAAACCTTTTGGAAATGGGTCACTTTGAAACACTTGCCCCACCTTAAAATTAATCTTCCCATTGGCCCCGTACTTAAACTCATTTTGCTTTATATTCCTACTGAAAGATTGATGAATAACACATGGTGGAAACAAGAAAAACATAAAAGGAACATGCAAGTTGGTTATGGAACATTCAAACATCAAACAACTTAAAATGAATTAAGTTTGGAGTATTATACCTTCTCCAAATGCCTTATTTGATGAAACCAAAACAAAAGGAATGGGTTCTCTACACTTTAACACCTCCTAGTGAGAGACAAAGCTTGGCTGATTTAAGAGAGAGTGAGAGCTTTGTGTTTTTTGATGAAAAATGAAATTCTCTACCAAAGATGAACTATCATTTCATTATATAGGCTAGGGTCATTTTATAATTACATGTTCTTCATGGTTGCCACATGTGAAGGCTCATTTATACAATGTCCCTTGAATAATCATTATTATTCAAAAACCCATGTAAACTACACTAGTTTACACTAATGACCTGTAATATTAATTTAAAACCCTTTAACTCTTAAAGGTTACTCTTTAACCCAAATAATTCATCCTAACACTTTAAGATATTATAATTAATCCAATTAATTATCCTTCAACCATTTTAACCTTTTAAAATGTCTTGAACAATTTCCATGTAACAGTTTACATGGAAATTCCATTATTACCCTCAGAAGGTGCTAGCCCTCGTCGGATAATCATTTCTCTCTCTCATCCTTCTCTAACTTCTCAAGGCTATTGGTGTAACCATGTAGGTCCATCGTGGGTTAGCCATGAGCCAGTTCTAGATCAATCCGAAAACTCGTCTGGAGGGCCAACGACTATGGTAAACATCTAGAAATATGACATAGCCCCTAAACCACAATGAAGGAATAGCTCCACCAAACCCTTTTTCAGATCATATGTACCATGCAAGTAAAGTCCCTCCATTGATATATCTTGATCGAGTACGGATTCATGGAACAACAAAATCCTAAACTCGATCTTCTACCGAATCGTCGATCAATATGTTTGGAACTTGTCATCATAAACTTACTTTCGTGTGACTAATAATATACACTGGCTAGAGGTTTTGGTTTTTGACATTTATTGACGTTCGTCCAGGAACCCAAATCTGGATGGAGTCAGCGATACTCCTAATCCTATATATCTGAGTCAACGGATCCCGTCTTAACCATCGTTCGTTTTCGCATATGAACAATGCATGACCAAATAGACTTTACCATACGAAACATGACTAGTCTCATAATTATACACCATATGAACCATACACATCTGTATCGAATCCGACCACGATGTCTCAGGTCAGAGGACTACATCATGCATTGATATAACCAAATGATAAATCATTGACTACATGTTTTTCCAAGTGATTTGTCGTTATTTGGTCACGTTCAAAAAACAGTTCATCAACCGCTAATCCATACTAATGCCCCAATGACATGACTATCATCATCATCATCCGTACTTATATCAACTCATGATATCTTTCGGAAGCATCTAACATACCTACTATGCAATATAGTTGCCCAAATAATATTGCATCCGTAGGGAACCTTTTTGATAAATTCATTTACCGATTAAATGAATCATCTGGACAATTCATATACATACTTTATTTAAATGCATGACTGAATAAAGGAAGCAATTTATATATATGAATTGAAGAACTCTTTCTTCTTTTATTTATGATATATTGATACAAGACAAAATGCTCTGAAACCGACAACACAAATGGTTTCTAGGGCATACACTAATAAACACTAACACCTACTTATCCTACTAACAACATCATCATTCTCACTTTCTCCCCCTTCTTCACTGTTATGCTCAAAATCGGACAAAATGGCCCCACTTTCAGCCACATCCTCACTCTCATTATCACCAACCATATTATCCTCCTGAAATAAATTACCCTTACCATCTACCTCAGCATGTACCTCCTCATCACCGTCAACATCTACATGTACATCCCTACCACCATGTACATCTATATCCCTATCCCCGTCTACATGTACCTCGGCATGTACCTCGCCATCACCATCTACATCATCGTGCACATTATCCCCACCATCTACATTCTCATCATCATCACTAGAAACATCACTCCGACGGAAGTCGTCTTGAATCCCTCTGCCCATGGAACTTCTGGTTGCTTATCATTAGGGTCAAGCAAAGCTGGTAATGGTTCTACTGTTTCAACGGGTAAAACTTCAACAAACAACTAAATGTCCAACACCCCTTTCAGCCCATATTGCTCCAAAATAAACCCTACATCATTGTCACTGTTTAGTAAGTATTTCTCCCTTGACATAGGTAACATGGCTTCTACCTTAAACTTCTCATCCAGGTAAAGATTAACTTCCTCATTCTCCGTGGCCACATATTTCTTAATGTCCTTAATCAACACTATATAACTAAATTCGCCAGGGTCCACATTTCGTATCTCACAGTCAATTCCAAAGAGATTAAATTTAAAATTGCACCTTTGTGGTTTCATCCTGCAAAATACAAGACAACAAAGTTTAATTTTTAAAGCCTGAAAAAATGAGAATAACCATTGATAACAACTTCATGTTATATACAAAAAATGAAGTTAACTTTACAGGTTACAAAAACAAATAAATGCACATATAAAGAATCATGGCAGATTTCCTTAATTTCATAGGGTGCGTTTGGTTTATTATTTTGGATAGGATTTTGGGAATAATATTGGGTAGTTGGATAGGGGAGTATTACGAGATAAAATTTTAAAATTTTAAAATTTATAAAAAAAAAACCCTAGGTTTGCTAATTTGATAAACACCCCAATATATTAAAATATTGTAAAATAACAAAAACACCCCTAAGACCTGCAGTGCCAGATTCTGACCACCACCGCAGGAATCTAGTCGAAAAATTTTTTAAGGACACATACCGATCAGATCTGGTGGGAAAGGCCAAATATGACCATCGACAGCCGAAAAATTCCATCTTTGGTCGTCGCCAACAGCCAGATCTGGCCTTTTTCGGCTAGATCCATTATGGATCTGGCTGAAAAAGGCCAGATCAGTGAATTACCGGTCATTTCCGGTGGGGGTGTTACTATTGTGAGAGATTCCGGCTACCACCGGTGGTGGTTGCCAGAATCTGGCAAGTATTGGTGGGTGGGGGTGTTTTTGTTAGGTTTTAAACTTTTTTTAGGGGGTATTTAATGAAATTAATAAACTTAAGGGGTCTAAAAATAATTAAAAAAATATACTAATATTTCTGGAATAATGTGCCAAACAATATTTGGGGAATAGAATTGGGAATATAGGTAGAAATAATAGGCCAAACGCAAAATATTTACTACGATCTAAGCTAGTCAGAATCATGGCTGATTGTGGTACATAATAGATTATCCAAATTTGTGAATTGAAAATACGTTTGAGCAGTTATGTTTTCACATTACATGAATTGAAAATATGCTTTAGGTTCTCTCATTTATTACTGCTATGTGAGAGATCCACTAAGTCATTAATTTATGTATTTTTACAATTACTTGAAAGATAATTAATTTATGTACTTTTACAATTATTTCTTCACTGATTAATAATGTGATTCATCAAAATTGACCTCTAATACATGCAGAACCTTACCATTTACATATACCATATAAATTAATGATCAATAATATTACAACCATGTTAAAACATGAAGACAAAATTGAAACATGAGACACCCAAAATTAACAAAACCAAACCTAAGCCTAAGCTTAATCTCAGTCAACACCTTCTTTTATGTTGGGGCATAAAAATACAGCTGAAAGAGAAACGTCAGAATTTACTATTGACTAAAATATTTTCTTGGCAATAAACTAATTTTTTAAAGACTTGCTTACAAGAATTGGTGTATTTTGTTTCATTAGTTAATAATAACACATAGTGGTCTTACTATAACCCAATAAGATTATTGAAACAGACAACACCCTCCTCTTTTTCATTTTTGTTTGGTCCTTTTATATGAATTTCTTTTACTTAAATGATTTTTTGTAAAAATGTTAAAATACTTAAATTAAAAAAAAAAAAAAAAAAACAAAAAGAACAAAAGAAAGAAGCTTTACATATAGACAGTCCTAAACAAGCTAAGCCTAATAAAAGTGCACTAAATCAGCTTTAGAACTTGGAACTTAATACAAGCTAAAGTAGCATAATTTATGCTAATACACGTGACTAGTCAAACTTAAAAAATCTACACACGCTAAAGACTTCAATGAACACTAAGTTGATTTTTTTGGGTACTGCTTATGAGAATTCTTAAAAATCCTTCACTTTGGCTTAGAGTGTTGAAAGACAGGGACAAAATTTCTTCCATAAAAAACCGTTTATTACTCTAAAAACACCTTCCTTAAACTCTTATGAAAACCTATTCTCAACACCAATTTTCAAGTACATCCAAAACCACAATTTTAACAATTAAAATCTAACTTCACAATTTTCAATAATTTCAATAAAAAATAAATGGATTAATGATTAATTGAATAAAAATTACCCATTGAATAAACAATGCTCCACTACTTTCCATTGTCAGATTTTTTATAAAGAAGTGAAAGCACATACAATAACAACAACATACAAGATCACATTCAAACCATAAACATAAAGAATTAATTTATACATACATGCAGATATTACAAATGCTCAAAAAAGGTACTGCAAAAGACAAAGAAGGAGACACCCACATTATTACGATACCAAGCTTCTTCGATCACACACGAATTATCTCTTCCTGATAAGTTTCGTGACCCACCTGAAGATAAATATAACACTCAAGTCATCAACCTTTCCACAGTTACATAGATACCACAAAACGAAAAACACTTTTCTTTCTAACACAACCTATAGTAAACAAAAACAAAAAAAGTATAAACAAAGATGACTACCTCCAAAAGTTCAAACACTCGCACTCTTAAACTTATCGTTGATATCCTCAATGATTACAGACTTCAAAAGTCGCGACTCAGAAGACCAACTCGTCGCTAGAAGTCACGAAAAACCTCATCGTTCGCCAGAAAAAGTCGTTGTCAACAACCCTTAACCCTTACCGTTAACAATGTACACGAATGCTAAACTCGCAAACCGCTGCTCCACCACTAGTCTACTTTGCCGTTAACACTCACCGGTCGTTGTAAACAGTCACCAAAAGATAGTTGAAGACGTTAACTGAAAACCTAAGAGTGAACACGCAAATGTTGCGTTTCCTTTTCCTTTTCTTTCAAAGGTCATGAGCGTTTCAATTTCCTTTTCTTTCAAATGTCAAGCCTTTTTCTTCTTTCTTTTTTTTTCAAATGGCAAGTCTCATGGACATTTGTCAATGCCCCAACCTTACACTTCAATTTCAAATTTTAATTTTTTATTAAAATATTATTTGATAATAATGCCCTTACTTTTACCCGTCGTTTGACCATTATACCCTTTTACGTTACAAAAACTACTAACAGAACTTCCTAGTGGGTGATAATTTGGTGTTTTGAAACCTTTTGGGTGGGAAATTGTCATTAAGGCAAACCTTCTATGGGAAATAGTCGTTTAGTCTTATCCATACTCATGGATAGCTTTATATAATTTTTATGAACAGTTTGATTAATGTTTAAATTTAATTAAATAGAATTTAATAATACGATGAGTTGATTAAAATTTTAGCCTCTATGTTCACATGTGCTGACAGTATAATAATAAGTATATATTAAATTAATTACTATTTTTAAATTATTAAATATAGTAAAATATTTAATTGAAGAACATTGAAATAATGGTAAATGCAAGAATCACAGAAGAAAATCATTTAAAAGCAAAAGAAAAGGGAGACACAGCCGTTGATCCAACGGCTTTAATTATCTTCCATTATAAAACACCAAGTTGTAGTTCCTGTTTTAATCCCATCACTCGAGCAAAACACAAATCTATCCTCCATTCATAAAATAAACACAAAAGAACATTAAAAAAATTATAATATAAAAAGAATACTGACTTCAAATGCTGAATTTAAATATTTAATCATAAAAAATTGTTGTCAGTAACGATATTATGTTGAAACATTCCTTTTTTATTTATCATACATAGAGAGTGGTTGATGTAGAAGAAGATGTACAAAAGGAAAATGTCTTTCTTTCTTTTTATTTATTTATCATAAAGGTTTTCAGGTACCACAAATTTAATCAAGCGACAAGGTCAATGTTTTCTATAAAAAAAAAAAAAAACTTAAATGAGGCGATTTTACCACCTCATCATACTTATGTAGACCATGAATTGATAAATAAATTAAGAGTTACGACTATTTCCCATTCAAGGTTTGCCTTAATGACATTTTCGCACCCAAAAGGTTTCATAATACCAAATTACCACCCACAACATAATTCCATCAGTAAATTTAGTTATAAAGAAGGGTAAGAGGTCAAAAGTCATTTATAATTAAGGGCAGGATGGTCATTTTATTTTTAAATAAAAATTTTAAATTTTAAATTGAAGTGGTGGGCTAAGGCATTAACACATGTCCAGCCGTCCAGGTAGTTGAACTTAGAAAGAAAAACAAAAGAAACTATGGCTTTTGCGTTTTTTGGAAGCGACGACTTTTGGGTTTTGGCTGACGGCTTCAACTGCATTCCGGTGATTGTTTACAATGACCAGTGAGTGTTAATGACGAGGTAGACTAATGGGGTGGACTTGTGGTTGGCGATTTGTTATCAGAGAGTTTTTTTCAACGAAGGACTTGTTTTTTTGGCGAACGGCAAGTTCTTTGGTTAGTGACAGTTGGTCTATTGACTCACATCTTTTTAAGTCGTTCATCGTTGAGGCTGGTAACGATAGGGTTTGCGTTTGCGAGTGGTTGAACTTGTGGAGGACTAGAGGTAGTCATCCTTTTTTGCACCTTTGTTGGTTTCGTTTACTGTAGGTTGTATGGGAAAACATGTGGTTTTTGTTTCGTTGTTTTCGTTTGCAAATGAATTAGTGACAGGAAGATTTGTTTGTTGTTTTCGTGTACATATATAGGGTTAGTGCTTTATGATTCTCATGGTACATTTTCAGGTTCTTGCTGGTATGGGATCACAGTCACAAAATGTTGTTCATGTCCCTGCTGCATTAAGAAATTTCACAATGTCCTAGAAGGTAAAAACTTTGGA